ACAGTTAACACATTGACGAATGAAAAGCTGTTGAAAAAAACAGTTTGCCGTGTAGTGGCGGTTAAGAATATCCACTACCCCATATCTTCCCGTGGGTGTCGTAAGAGGCGACAGAGGGAGACAGGCAGGAGATGGGCAGCAGCGTCTTCCTGATGACAACTGTGACGTAATAAAAAAACTGCGGTTGCCAACCCGCTCGCCAAGCGTGGCAACTATGGCAAATACCCCCCAATGAATAAATACACAAACAGACGGCCCCCAGTCCCCGGCGGCCCCGCTATTCCTGGCTACGGTGGCGACCATGGTAACGGCGGGGCAGGGGGTGCTAAGAATCTCCGGTGGAGGTTCGGTTGCCACCTACGACGACTCGACCTGGCAACATATAACGCACGCACCCTGAGGACTGACGAGAAGATACTGGAGCTGGAAGAAGAGGTAGACAAGTTGCGCTGGCATATTATTGGATTATCCGAGGTCCGAAGAGAGGGGGAGGACACGGCAATCCTCGAGTCCGGCAACTTGTTCTATCACCGGGAGGGCGACCATCTGTCCCAAGGAGGTGTCGGATTTATCGTCCACAAATCTCTCGTCAACAACGTTGTAAAGATTGGGAGTGTGTCGACGAGGGTCGCGTACCTGATACTCAGAATCACCAAACGGTATTCGCTGAAGGTCATTCAGGTTTACGCACCAACCTCGGCACATCCCGATGAGGAGGTGGAGGAAATGTATGAGGATATTTCCAGAGCCATACATTCCTCCAAAACCTACTACACGGTGTTGATGGGAGACTTCAACGCAAAACTGGGCACAAGAGAAAGCGGTGAGCTGAAGGTAGGGAAATTTGGAGTAGGGCAACGGAACCGAAGGGGCCAGCAGCTGGCCGACTTTATGGAGAAAGAGGGACTCTTTATGATGAACTCTTTCTTCCAGAAGCGGCCCCACAGGAAGTGGACCTGGTCGAGCCCCGACGGTTCGACAAAAAATGAGATTGACTTCATTATGACGACCAGACGCCAACTGTTCAGTGATGTCTCAGTGATCGCAAGGGTGAAAACTGGCAGCGATCACCGAATGGTTAGAGGCACACTGAACCTAAACGTTAAGTTGGAGAGGTCTCGTCTAATGAAGTCAACGCTCCGTCCCCCTCGTGCTCTAATCCAGAATCCCGAAACCTTTCAGCTCGAGTTACGTAACCGCTTCCAGTGCCTAGAAGATTGCAATGCAGTGGACGATATGAACGACAAGCTCGTGGAAACTGTCCATGCGGTCGGAGCTAAGTTCTGCAAGACCCGCCGCAGAAGAACACAAAAACTCTCCGATCACACTCTTAATCTCATGGCTGTTAGACGGGAGATGAGGCTGCAATCGTCAACAGATTTGACAGCATACAGGCAACTGAACAGACAGATCTCCAAATGCATACGGCGAGACTTACGCAACTTTAATACTTCTCGTATTAAAGAAGCGATCGAGCGGAACCAGGGCTCCAAAGTCTTTGCCAGAGATCTGTCTGCCAGAAAGAGCCAACTGTCAAGGCTGAAGACTGAGTGTGGCAACATCGTTTCCGGGACACCTGAGATTTTGAGTGAGATTGAGAGGTTCTATGGGCAGCTGTACACATCATCGTTGGAGCCACACGCAAGTGTGAGTAACGATCCAAGAGCAAGTCTTATCCGACACTATTCCGATGATATCCCGGACGTCAGTCTAAGCGAGATTAGAATGGCTCTCCAGCACCTTAAAAACGGCAGGGCCCCAGGCGAGGATGGAATTACAGCGGAGCTTCTGAAAGCGGGTGGAACACCGGTACTTGAAGTCCTTCAGAAGCTCTTCAATTCCGTCCTCCATGGTGGCACTACTCCAGAGGCGTGGAGCAGAAGTGCGGTGGTCTTGTTCTTTAAGAAAGGCGACAACGCTCTCTTAAAGAACTACAGACCGATTTCCCTTCTGAGCCGCGTCTACGTGCTGTTTTCGAGAGTCATTACGAATCGTCTCGCACGCAGACTCGACGACTTCCAGCCTCCCGAACAAGCCGGTTTCCGAAAAGGCTTCAGTACCATAGACCACATACATACCCTGCGGCAGATTGTACAGAAGACTGAAGAGTACAATCTGCCACTTTGCCTGGCGTATGTGGACTATGAGAAAGCCTTTGATTCCGTCGAAATTTGGGCGGTGCTACAGTCCCTTCAGCGGTGCCAAGTTGACTGTCGGTATATCGAAGTGCTGAAGTGTTTGTACAGTAGGGCTACGATGGCTATCCGAGTACAGAACCAGAGCTCAAAACCTATCCAACTGCAGAGAGGTGTAAGACAGGGTGACGTTATATCCCCGAAACTCTTCACCGCTGCATTGGAAGACGTTTTCAAGCTACTGGACTGGAAAGGGTACGGTATTGACATCAATGGCGAGTACATCACTCACCTTCGATTTGCCGACGATATAGTCCTTATGGCAGAATCGCTGGAGGACTTAAGCACTATGCTCAATGACCTCAATAGTGCCTCCCAACGGATAGGTCTTAAGATGAACATGGACAAAACAAAGATCATGTTCAATGTCCATGTCACACCTATGCCGGTAGTTGTTGGGAGCACTATGCTCGAAGTTGTTGACGAATACGTTTACCTGGGACAAATAGTCCGACTAGGTAAGTCCAACTTCGACCGAGAGGTCAATCGACGGATTCAACTCGGCTGGGCAGCGTTCGGGAAATTACGGCATATCTTTTCGTCAGGTATACCTCAATCTCTAAAAACTAGATTGTACAACCAGTGCGTGTTGCCAGTGATGACTTACGGATCTGAGACGTGGTCCTTCACTGCTGGCCGTATGAGGACGCTTAAGGTCGCTCAGCGAGCTATGGAGAGGGCTATGCTCGGAGTTTCTCTGCGTGATAGACTCAAAAATGAGGATATCCGCAGTAAAACCAGAGTGACCGACATAGCCCAACGGATTAGTAAGCTGAAGTGGCAATGGGCCGGCCATATAGCTCGAAGAACCGATAACCGATGGGGAAGAAAGGTTCTCGAGTGGCAGCCTCGTACCGGTAAGCGTAGTGTAGGGCGACCCCCCACTAGATGGAGTGACGACCTGGTAAGACATGCAGGAAGTCGATGGATGCAGGTGGCTCAGGACCGTGCTTTGTGGCATTACTTGGGGGAGGCCTATGTTCAGCAGTGGACTTGTGAAGGGCTGTAATGATGAATGATGAATGATTATCACTTGCAACCAAGGAGGTTATAAATATATAGGGAGCGAGCGCTTGGAACATTGTAACCGTTCTTCATTTTCCTTAGATAGAGAGGCACCGAGTTTGGTATTATATCTCCTTCTAGCATTAATAAATGTTTACATAAAATAAAAAATAACCAACATTTAGGCAGTTATTGAGTTAAAGTAGTATTTTAGACGTATGCTTGAACGAATCTTACATTTTTATCGCATATTATAATTGGTACATTCCATATTGTATTCCAATTAAGCATACTATTAAGTTACACGAAAAAAAAAACATTAAAACACGAATGTACTTTCCCTGAAAACTATGGGGTGCATTTTATGCTATAGATGACAAACCTATTTTAAAATTTGACGTTGTTAAATGCATAAATATGGCGCTATTGGCTTCTATTCTCTGTTTGACTTGTCATCAGCGAATGTGATTTAATTGATTTAATTAATATTGCAGAACTTTTCGGGTTTTCTAGTGAAAATGGTATTTTCGTATTGTGTGAAAGGTTGTAGAAGTGAAAGTTACCCTGGATGTGGTTTGTCATTCCATAGGTAAGAAAAATTTATAGAGTATATTGTGATATGTTCACACTTTCGTAGTTTTAATATTGTTTTTAAGTCTGAATTTCGTGAATACAGCATCTGCTATTTTTCAATTTTGATTATGGATCTCTCCTGTTATTCTCAGATACATATTTTGCTACCGTTTCGTATATTTCAAAGAAAATTATATAGAATGTTTTGTTGGTAAAGTGACCAATAATAAGAATAAAAACAATAACTTTGAATATGAATAACACAATTGAAGAAAAAGTGTTACATACATACATAAAACAAAACTCACGCCTTTTTCCCATGGCGGTAGGCAGAGACCACAGAGTGCCAACTGCTACGATCCAAAAGTAATTTTTTTTTAGTTAGTAGTATAAGATGCGTGAGAAGGACCTTGGCCTAATTAAAATGTAATCTAGTCCTAATTTCAATTACCTGCGGTATTATAGATATTATTTTTTTCTAACTTCTATTATTTGATGAAGTCACAGTTAATAAAATGATTTATAATATGAATGTCACGTCTTTCTTTATCTCAATCCCTTCAAGGAAGTTGGGTACTCTCATGTTAAGAAATACGAGACAATAAGCTGGAAGCATTTATTTTCATAATTATTATTATATATCTATATTTGTTTAAGTTTCCCGGTGAAGGAAGGTGCACTGAAAGCATGGCTCAAAGTAGTTCCGGTAAAAGGATCTACTAAATACAAAAAAGTTTGCTCTAACCAAAATTTCAAAAGTTCTAAAAATTTCAAAAGTCAGGATTTTGTTATCCAAGGAGCCAGAAAGCGCTTAACAGCCAGTGCAGTGCCATCAGTTCTAGTAACGATATGTATTAATTTTAATATAAATGTCATAATACTTCTTATAAATTATAGTAACTACAGTTGAAGCAACAATGTGGCATAGATTAATAAAAAAATGGAAGAACAAAGTTTGAAATTCATTGTACAATATTTAACCCGAGCTAAAATTATGATAATTTTTCTTTCTAGTTTTCTTGCATCATCAATCAATTAATTCCATTTTTCTCTCTGCTGGACATAATATGTTATTCCATAACTGCGCTATAAACATAAATAAATAATTAACAACTTCTAGTCCTGGTTAATTACTTATGTTTCTATTACATTAAATGATATTACTATTCTATTAAATTATACTAATTTAATTCTTGAAGTGTAATTTAACAATTCATATTATTTTAGATGCCCATGGAAACTGTGAAGGTGATCAGTAATATTCAAATAAAACCACCAAACATCATGACTCACCACGATGTTTCAGCTAATTCAATGAAAATTGATATGTGTTACGAGTCAGTGCCAAATACATCTTCTCAGGAAATCACGTTAAGAAAGCGACCATTGTCTGATTTGAGCCCTTCACTCAATATTCCCCAATCAAATAAAAGGAAATGTGTCGCGCATAAGTATGTACAAACATCAAGAGGTAAAGAAAATAGTCAAATAAAAAGAGAAGTTAAAATTCTTAAACAAAAGTTAAAACGCAGAGATTTGAAGATTACGTCGATGAAAAATCTTCTTAGTGTAGTGAAAAAAAAGGACTATGCATTATGAAGATATTGAGAGTATCAATAGAGATCATTTTTGCAATATTTATTCAGAACTTAAACCTAAAAATAAATCTAAGATATCACCAGGTGTAAGATATAGCAAGGAACTTAAGCAGTTTGCTCTAACTCTTAATTACTATTCTCCACGGGCATACAGATTCTTGCGCACATGCATTAATTTGCCACATCCTGCTACAATTCGCAAGATGCTTTTTTCTGCAGAGTGTAATGTCGGTTTCCTTAAGGAAGTTTTGAATTTTTAAAATTAAATGTCCAAACGAATCCCGCTTTAATTCATGTTTCCCTGATTTTTGACTCAATGGCTATTAAATCGGAGCTCGTGTATGAGAAAAACTCAGATAAAACTTGGGGTTATGTTGATTTGGGTGGAATTGTAAATGTAGATTCCTATGAAGTGGCGAAAGAATCTTTAATTTTTCAAATAGTGTCATACACAAGTAGGTTCAAATGCTGTATAGGCTACTTTTTAATAAACAAAATAACAGCTACCATCCAGTCGCAGTTAGTTCATACAGCTATAAAAATGTTGCATGATATCAACATAATCGTTCATTCGATAACATGTGATGGTACTGTGGTAAATCTAAGAACATTTGAACAGCTCGGGTGCGTTTTTGATGTTCCTAATATTAAATCAAATTTAAAACATCCTGATGGAATAACTGAGGTGCAGTGTATATTTGACCCATCTCATATGCTGAAACTTGCTCGAAACACTTTAGGTGAATTCCCTATGAAATCTAATTTAGGCATTATATCATTTGAATATATTAAAGCTTTAAATAAATTACAAGAGTCTGAAGGTTTTAGGTTTGCGAACAAATTAACAAATACACATGTTAACTTTTGGGGGAATAAAATGAATGTAAAATTAGCTAGTCAGTTGATAAGCGTCTCTGTAGCTGACTCGATTGATTTTTAAGGGTCAGCGGAAACAAAAAGTTTCAAAATAGTGAAGCTACGGTTGATTATATCCGACATTTAGACAAAGCTTTTGATTTGATGAACGGCAAAAATCCAATAGGGAAGGGATTGAAAGCTCCACTAACCTTGAAAAATATAACCTTCTGGGAACCTATTTTTGAAGAAATACGTAATTTCTTGCTTAATTTAACAATTGAGGGTCAAAGTATAATGCAACATCGTAGTAAAACATTCGCTTTAGGTTTTTATGTGAATACGATAAGCTTTTCAAATTTGGCGAAAGATTTACTGACACGTCCCATAGATCCTATGAAATATTTTTTAACTTATAAGTGCTCACAAGATCATATTGAGATGTTATTTTCCTGCATAAGGGCCCGAGGTGGTGGCAATGACAATCCAAATGCATTGCAACTGAAATACACATTACGTAAATTACTTTTCAAAAATAGTGTAATGCCAAGCGTAAATAGCAATACTTACGATAGTGACTATGAATTAACAGCAATTTTAGAGTTTAGGTCTCCTCAACGTGCAATGCAATTAGAGTCGATTGAACAAGAGAATGAAAGTGAAACATTGATTTCATTGATAAACAATGTCTCGCTTTTCAGTTATCAAAATAATATATTATATTATATAACTGGTTGTATTGTTAAGAATCTCCACAGTAAAATAACATGTGAAGAATGTCAAAATTTGATAAAAGAAATAGGTAAAAATGTTGACCACTTATACACAATTGATGTTAATAAGCATTCAGCGTTTACTGCTTTTGTAAATAGAGGCATGCTATTTTTTCCATCACAATCTGGAATCGTCAATCGATTTAGGACCGTTTTTCTAGTATGAAGTGCGCACTCCCTATATATTTATTTATAACCTCCTTGCCCTTGCAACTCATTTCGGAATACTTAATCTATATCCCGGTCTAAAAAGGATGTAATAGAAAATAAACTACAAAAATAAATAAAAAATCTACCGTAAAATCTAGTATTTTAAAAAGGTAAACGCATAGTAGAAGTGTTACTTTAGTGTTATGATTATGGAGTGTAGAGGTAAGGAGTAGTAGAATAATTGAAAAAGTGTCCATCTGTAAGCAGTAAATAACAGTTCAAAAACTCTCCACAACAGCGCCGTAGTAGTTACTGGGATGAAATGAACTTAGCAGTTGTCGACGGTTTAACTGTGCTGCTAAACTGCTCAGTAGCTCTAAAATCTAAAATAATTTTGTTTAGTAAATATAACTAATACTACTAATATTTTTTGGCACGTTCTTTAAAATTTAGCCCGTAGCTATAGTCGCGCCATCCTCATTTAACGATTTTCTATGGACACTTTTTAATACACAGTCTGTACTCCTTACTTCTAAACTCCATAGTTATGATGAATCGTAGGCAGAGAAACCTATAGAATAATAATTAGCGTGGCCTAGAGTGAGAAAGGACGATAACGTGTTTTAGGTTATACAATAATCTTTACGACTTTTAAACATATTTAGATAAAAATTTTGATTGTTCTAAGAACTGAACTGAACAAGATTCACCAATCCTAAGCTCAAAAAACACTTTTTTTCTCACTTAAACCAATTTGTAAACTCCTTAGATTGATACGAACTGTCAAAGTTGTTTAGCGAAGTGTAGTTTGCTAAACAAAAAAACCGGCATGGGGAAAGGGACAAACAATCACACCGCTCTGTCTCGTTTCTATGCAAGACGTATGCATAAATCTATCTTTTTAGTGTACGAATGCGAAAGAAGGCGTCAATTTGTCTATAGGTTTCTCTGTTTACGTGATGAATGGTGTACCACAGATAAAAACGGGACGGGTTTAGGTGCGTTCACAACCTATAAAAAATAGTAAGAAAATGAGGTTTTTATTACAAAGCTAATTTATTTCACAGGCTTTTGTGGTATCGTTCTGCGTAAAATAAATTCATACTTAATTGCTTTTTTCTTTGCTAAATGAAACCACAAGCATTCGGTTCTATCATGTGTAAATAAATATTGTAAAACAGTAGAACCACTAACTTAAGCTATAATACTTGAACGATGGGTACCTCATGAATTGGGTGAATCGAACTTGCAAACACGCGTCAACTGCTGTGTTACTTTGCTCAACCGACACAAAAGTGAAGGGATTTTAAATCGAATCATTACTTTGATGAAAAGTGGATACTGTACGATAATCGGAAGCGCTCGTCGCAATGGCTGAACCCTGGAGACCCAGCCAAATCCTGCCCCAAACGAAAATTGACTCAGAAAAAGTTAATTGTGAGTGTTTGGTGGACTAGCGCCGGTGTCATTCACTACAGCTTTCTAAAATCTGGGCGAACTATTACGGTAGATATCTACTGTCAGCAACTGCAAACCATAAAGGAAGAACTAGCTGCTAAACAACCGAGATTGGTCACTCGCTCTAGGCCACTGCTGCTTCACGACAACGCAAGACCACACACTCCACAACAAACGACCACTAAGTTAGATGAGCTACAATTGGAATGTCTGCGGCTACCAGCGTACTCCCCGTACCTTGCTCCAACAGATTACCATTTTTTCCGGAATTTGGATAACTTCTTACAAGGAAAAAAAATTCAACTGCGATGCGACAGTCCAAACCGCCTTTAAAGAGTTTATTGATTCTCGCCCCCATTATTTTTTTTAATACAGGGATCAATGAACTACCTATGAGATGGCAAAAGTGCATAGATAACAACGGCGCATACTTTGATTAATTACTATATATAATATATATTTTACAAAAAAAAATTACTATATTCCTCCCGTACAAAACGCCAATTTCATATCAAGCGCTAATCTTTCAAACGGCTTCGTGCTTGAGGACTTTATGACCATGAGTGCCTTGTTACAAGTGCACGATGGCCAATTAATTTGACATAGTTTACAATCTTTAACGAAGCGTTCTATATCTGCACGCATATTTTTCTAATAAAACAAAGATTTAATTCTACTACTTAGCATAGTAGGAAAACTGTATGCTAAGGTACTAATTGAAAGAGTTATGAAAGAAACTGATGAAAAAATTTGGGATGTGCAAGCGCGATTTAGAAAGGGAATGGGGTGTACAGATCAAGTCTCTTCCATGCACATGATCGTGGAGAAGTTTTTGGCGAAAAACCAAAAAGTTTTTTGTGCGTTCATGGACTTGGAAAAGGCTTATGACAGAGTGGACTGGGATGTGTTATGGCAAACGCTGAACGCATTTAGGTTGAGCGCTGGTTTAATACAGGCATTAAAGTCTCTGTATAGGGACTCGAGTGCTTGTGTTAGAATTAACGGGGTCTACTCGGACTTGTTTGGCATCCATAAAGGTGTCAGACAGGGCTGTGTAGCTTCCCCGTGGCTGTTCAACTGACAGTTGTTTGGAAAATTTTAAAGTTGAAGAATGCGGGTTAAGAATGGGTGAGTTAACCATCAAATGCCTTTTGTACGCCGATGATCAAGTCATACTTGCGTCGTCGGCGGCCGAGTTGCAAATGATGGTTACATTAATGAACAGGTCATTAAAAGAAAGGGGAATCAAAGTGAACGCAAGTAAGACGAAAGTGATGGTTTTTGAAAGAGAAGAAAGTAAAACGGTATGTGAAATAAGAATAGAAGGAGAGTTAATTGAGCAAGTGGATGAGTTCGTATATTTGGGATGTGTATTCAGCAGGGATGGGAGATATGATAAGGATATTAAACGACGAGTGAATGCCGGAAATAAAGTAAATGGGGCTCTACACTATTGTGAAAAGTCAGAATGTGTCAAAAAAGGCACGTATGGCAATTCACAATGCTGTATTAGTCCCTACTTGAACATTTGGTAGTGAAAGTTGGGTGTGGCAGAAGAAGCACGAGAGTAGAATAAATGCAGTAGAAATGCGGTCGCTAAGGAGTATGTTAGGACTGAATCTGAGTGACAGGGTGAGAAACTGTGTGATAAAAGAAGAGTGTGGTTTGCAAGATGATGCGGTGACCAGGATTAAGAAAGGAATGCTTCGGTGGTTTGGTCATGTAGAAAGAATGAATGCGGAAAGACTGACAAAGCAAATATATG